TCAGAGAGAAACCCACATGGCACAGCAGACCTCTCCTGACTCACCCACTGCTCCCTTCAGTAGTGTATTTCAGTCAGTCTGCCTGTTCTGTTCCCCACTCTGTCTCTGGTAAATCCTCTCATCCCCATATCTCTGGTCTATATCCCAGCTCTTGTATGCATAAATAAATAAATCTTTAAAAAAATAAAATAAATGACAGAGATTCAAGTCAAATCCAGTTTGAACCCCACATAATTCACACTTCTTCCATATTCTCTCCAGTGGGTAGTTACCCGCATTTAAGAGCTTGAATTATCACAAATACATGCACAGTGACAGCAGTCTATGGGGACAGCTACACTGCCACATGCAATTCAAATTGCATATATTAAAACACCTTTCCTTCCAACATCATTTCCTGCTAAGGACAAATATCTGTACCAAGCTTATCTTCATTTTTCTAACACCACTGACAAGTCTTCTATTATTTATTAACTGGTCATCCAACCCATCTTTATGATAACCTCATTTGTTGCTCCCTACTTTGCTATCCTGTCTGCAGTGCCCTCCCCACTTGATTTCTTGTCTATATCCTGCTCTTTTATCTCTCAGTTGACTTGCCTCCTACTGTTTCTGGAAAAATTCCCCTGATACCTTTTCCCTGCCAACAGTCCCATTGAACTCCTATATTATTTATTGCCTATAAAACTACTCTTCCCCTTGCAATATTTATTCCTTTCTACTGCTATTTATCTTTTATATAGGTGACCTTGCTCCCAATTAGTAAGTGCTGTAATAAGCACTTATTAAGAGCAGCCGGTGAACTGGGCACAGATATAAAAACAGAGTATGGTCTTTTGTCTTCATGGAGTTTGGGGGGGTTGGGGGAGGGTTAGGTCAGATAATCAAAAGTAAATATCATTTTGTAAATGCTGTACCAAGAGGAAGTGGGAACCATACATACTTGAATCTTAAATTATGAGTAGGTGTCATGCAGAGGCTCAGGGTAGAAAGAATGATCAGATAGACAATTTCAGACAGTAGAAGCTTCTTCAGGCAAACAGTGCTGGAGCCTCAAAACCTAGACAAGAGTCTGGTGGTATGCCCTTTGCAGTGATAGTGATGGTGGGATTTTGCAAGCATTGCAAATAACACTTTTTAGAGAAATCGGTCATTTCTCTACATGGACCAAGAAACATACATAATCCTTTGAACTGTGCTGATCTGCTTGTCTATGTATATTCAGTGAAAATGGTAAATATTAAATCAAATTTAAATACTACCTCCTTTGCTGTCATAATTGTATTTCCTTGACCTTGTAGCATTAAGGTTCAACTTCTCTGAATAATAAATAATTTCACAGAGGCAGTAAAACTTAAATCAAATCTCAGACTAAAAGTTTGATGTATTTAGTATCCTTTGTGTCCAAAAAATGAAAGTCTAATTCCTACAGCTGGTTGAGTAAGACAAGCATTGCCACCTGATAATCGCCATCACTGTTAACAGGAGATACATTAATAGATTGGGGTATGTCCACTATACCTCCTCGAGTACTGCCATAATGCAATAAGGACCAAGTAGTGGCCACATTCCAACTGACAATTAAATGACAAATAAACCTATTACATCTCCAAATTCTGTTCCAAAAGATTTCACTTTCAGATTCACAAGCAGCAACAGTTCAACCATGCATGTTTTAACCACAGTAAAACGAATAAGAAAGTATATCTATTTGTCAATCAGATGAAGTATACCTTCAGTCTGATCAAATATAGGAACCAAACTTCCTATGTCTGCATTCTTTACATATAAAGTCAATCAAAATGTTAAGATGATCTACTACTTGCTTCATTTCCTACTGGTAGTTCTAAGCTGTCTGAAAATAAATGTCATTTTAATGATCTCTTCTAAAAGAAATACAATGTAGTGAGTGACACACAAGTCTGCCTCTTACTCCTGCAAATTTAATGGGACATCTCATATCTAAGCCAAATCTTTTTATGCAATCAAATTTTGAAAAATTCTGCTTTACTGGTTAACATTGGGTTGTCGGAAAAGTCATGACATGTTTTTTTCCATGTTTTTCAAAAATAAATGTATCATGACTTTCCCGACAGCCCAATATTTTTTATCCATGTTGACAGACTGACATCTCCCCCAATTTTAAGTTCTATGCACTTTTTTTGACTCACAGCTCAGGGGTTATTCTGTCCAAGTCTGTTTTTTGGTTTTTATTAGCCATGGCTGTCATGAAGCTCTGAGTGCTCCCGCCCCACCCAGGATTTCATGGCAAACAACAACAGATTTTGTCACGAAATCTCAATCTGTGAGCAGCTATCTTTGAGAACAGTTTTAAGTCCCTACTGTGAGGATTCTTGGCTCAAGAACAGCCACTCACTCTCTACCAACAAAAATATATGAGTCCCTCTCTGGAGAAGGTGGCCTTACTACCTTTGTCTTCTGCAGCTGAGCTTTAGATTTCTTGACTATCCTGGTAAAAAATATCGGGAAAATACAAATAAATAGAAAAGAGGGTGGAAAAAGTATTAGCCTGAGTGAGTACGCTTCTATCATAAGTCATTTTTATTAAATACAAAAAGAACAGATGGACAGATAATAGAAGGACTGCAGCTCTAGTGTAGATAGGGGCCAAATCTGGCTCCTATTTTGTGGATATTTATTTTGTGCAACGCTAGATCATCCTCATGAATGAACTCACTTCTTGATCAGCCCTTCAAGAGCTGGTTCTCCTCAAGGGCTCTGGCTGACCTGCAGGGAAAATGCTCGTGATTCCATTTCACATTGCATTAAAACTCCCATATTAAGTCTCGTAACGAACTCAGCAAAGCTTAATATTTACTGCCTTTTAGCCCATTTGTTTTATAATCACACACTTGTAAACTACGTAGATACATAATATATCACAATCTGCACATTCCTCCTTACAATGAAATATAATCATTCCATGGATTAAAATTTTTTTTTAAATCACCTCCCACAAGATTTCTCTTTTAAACCTGGTCTTCCTACCTTGCTGTCTCTCTCTCTGCCTCCCTCTCACTCTGAGGAAGTTTCATCGTGGACAAGGAAATATACCATTAAGGTAACTTTCAGATAAATTAGACAAAATATTAGGCTCACTTGAATAAGCTCATTGTTTGCCACTTACTCATTCAGAGCTCTTTCCAGGCCAGGACGTCTATTTTGGGATATTCATGCATTTATGGTAATTGTATTACTTTACCAGAATTGCTAAGAAACTTAAGGATATTATTAGGAAGACCAGATCTAGAGTTTCCTGAAGAACACAAGAAAAACTGGGGTAAGAAAATGGAGAAAGAAGGCCTCCCTGATGGCGCAAGGGGTTAAGCACCACACTAAGAAGCAATCTGCAACCTCTGCAGCACAAGTTCGATCCCTTGCCAGCCTTGGAGCAACCCAATGGTGCAGCAGACCTCTCCTGTCTCCCCGCCGCTCCCCTCAGCAGTGTATTTCAGTGAGTCTGCCTGTTCTGTTCCCCACGCTGTCTCTGGTGGATCCTCTCACCCCCCACATCTCTGGGCTGCACCCCAGCTCTTATATGCATAAATAAATAAATCTTAAAAAAAAATAAAAAGAAAATGGAGAAAGAAACCTCCATTACTTCCCCAAATTAATCTCCTTAATACAGGAAGAGCAACAGGTTCTAAATGTGGCCCTAACATCAGAGCCTTTGAACAGCTAATCTCCAAGAGCTGCCTGTGTATATGGGCGGGGAGGGGAAGGAGGGCTGGTGGTGTCTGATATTTGAGTTCCTATCTGTGATCAGAGAGAAAGGCCAGACTTAAGCTCTCTCTCCCACTGGTCTTGTTTTCGGTTGACACAGCATTTGACCCCCAAGAGCTCCTGAAACCAGGAAGCAAAATCTACCAAAATTGCTGACTTCAGTAGGAGAAGTATCAGCCTACACTTCACTAGCATTTTGTCTTCTGATAGCCTCAATCCTTTGGTTTGACTCCTGACCTTTCATGTACAAACATGTTAGCAGAATTTTCTCTGCATTACTATTGGAATCTGAACTTTAAAATGCTACCTTTAAATAGTGTGTATTCAAGTTTTAATAGTTAAAAACACACATGTGCTTGCAGAATCTGGAGGGAAAGAAGTGAAATAATTCCTCACTTAAGGCCTTTATGTCACAAATTACTTCCTAACATATAGTCTAGCATTATTTGAGTTATACATCAATATTCTCAAGGGATGAGGTTCAGATACAGCTACAGAGACAGACATACACAGAGAAGCATAGTATAGTTATATTAAGAAGAAAAGCTCTTATAAGAGACCAATATAGCAAGCGTGAGGGCCAAAGACTGGAGCTTCAAAGCAGAAGCTCTGAATCACATAGGTTTTTGATGAAATACTTAGCCATATGTCATTACTTAGTGTAACTGCTCATTCAAAAAGTATTTTGCTCCCCTAAAATTGACTCCTCTTCTTAGTACCTGAAATTACCACTCAGTCTTATTCACAGTTCTATCTCATCCAATAGGGATTCCAGCACCTTCCACAGCTAAACCAATCACATTCATACCCTTGTCTTTGACCATAAACTACCTACTGCCTCTTCATTGTTCTAAGATGCCACATATCCCTTATTAGTGCAGGGGACTTTGTTTTTGCTACCAGATTTTAGTGGTCTTGCCGGACTTAGTTCATTGGTAGTTAGAGCAGCTCTGCATATCTTAATGTTAGTGAAAGAATATTCACTTCTTAGCAGTTCATTAACTTCGAAGTTTCTAGTCAAACTAAAGTCCGGAGACCCAGGTTAGATAGCTGGTCCTGTCCTTTACCACCTTTGAGACTGTACACAACTAGGTTTCCAGGTCCCACCTGTAGCAGCTCCCAGGGTCATCATGAAGGTTAAAATGAAAGGACGTGGAAGGACACCGACAGTGCTCAAGTGCTCTGCAAGTGAACGTGAACGTGAAAGACACCTGCTGGAAACTCCCCCACTGAAAGAAGTGGGCAATTGTCCTCACCTCTGGATTCATGGAACTCCAGTGTCACGTGGGCATCAAATCCAAGGCTGAAGTAATTATTGAAAACATTCAGAGGAAGCTGCAATGATGAACAAAAGTAGAGCTAAAATGTGTGTGACCAGGCAGAAAGAGAAAAATAAAGCTTGAAGCCAGACATGTGTCTCTGGAGCTGTCTCTAGGGGGAAGATCAGTTAAAACCCAAAGCAGAGGGAGTTTACATAGAAGACACTGGGGATATTTTAATTAATTCATTAATGAAACATCAACTCAAATAGTATACCCAAGAATGTTAGATAGTAGAGGAGACATGGGGTTCAAAAACAAGCTATTAGATGAGAGCCATTTTGCAGGTATTACAATAAAGGGACCTTGTTAGGCTGAGGGGCGCCATATTCATAGTGGCTACCCTTGGGTAGTAAATGTTCTCTTTGACTAGAGTAAGAACCTTGAACCTTAAATGATAGTGAGAGAGAACAAGAGAGAAATTAAAAGAGGAGATTGGATTGCCTTCATCTCTCATGGAAAATAAAATATGAAGCCTCCCATGGAAGGCCCTGAGACAGAGCGTCTCATGATTTAGAAGTCATATCAGCCTTTTGAAAGGTTACAACTGACTGGAGAACAGGGAGAGAAACTATACGCGTAGAACAATGCCAAGATCCTGTCTCACTCTCCTGGCTTCATCTTTGAGAATGTCCAGTTCCCGCACTTAAACAAAATACCAAGTCTTAGTAATGACAGCAAGGGTTGCTGATCCTGCCAAAAGCAGATACATTCGTTTCTACCATTTATGTTCTTTTGGCTACAATTCTAACCCATGTCTCTGCATCTACTGATAACTTAAGAGAACATCTGGTCACCATTCCCTAAATAAATATCCCAATTTAGGCTGTTATTAAGTTCTTATTCATATTTTCCAGGAAAAATTGTCTCAATTTCCTATACATCTTTTTAAAACTCTACTTTCAAAGCCCTTTAATTATTTAGATTAATATTTTCTGACTGCACCAAGTTTTTTCCATTTCTTAAGCGGTTGAGAAGAGAATTAAATATAGATTTCTATTGAGGGCTAAGCCATTCCAAGTGAAATGGGGAAAAGTCCTTAAAATTTCCATGTGTTACACTTTTTCCTACTTTCACTGTTTTCTATTTAATTTTTATATGTCAAATACATTAAAAAGAATTATCATATCCCAAGATGATACTTGTTGTTTAAATAACATTGTGACATTACAAACTGAGCTAGTATCTACTAGCAAAATCTTGTAATGTCTGGCTCATGGTTTAGATGTAAAAGCATGAAGTCCAGACAAAACATGTTTCAGCCTATTTTAGTCAAATAAGAAACTTGAATCTATGACAATTGGTCATAGATAATGAATGCAGTGAATAAATGGGCATTGGGTGGTATAAAATGATTATCAGTTTTAAGGCTGAACCATCCATGAAATCTTGACTTCAGCCATGGCGTGAGGCAACACAGCAGGATCATGGAAGTGCAGAGATGCCTGGGCTCCTGCATTGACTTATCAGACTCTTGGGATTGCGCCTTGTTACCTCCATTTTAACAGGCACCCATGAAGATCCCTATGCATCCAAAAGTTATACAACCCTGGCCTATAAGAAGAGTGAAAAAGCAATATGGAGGAACAACTCAGCAACCTATCAAATCTATCTGAAATTGAGGCCAATACTTAGAAAGACATGCCCAATGAAGGTCTATACTGGCATATTTACATTCCGTTCCTTCCTTTTCTTGAGTTGAAATGAAACTCAAGTTTTGCCCTGGAGAATCATTACCATAGCTCTGAGAATCAAAGAACACGGCTGTAGAGTGGCAGAAGGCTCAAGCCCTCTGCTACAGCATTCTGTTTATTTTGCAATTAGCAAGACTGAGAGAGTAAATAAAACGTTTTCCTTAAGGTACTCAGAAGTTAAGATCAAAGGCAAAGATAATCTCAAAGCCCAATCACTGATGGAAAAACATTAGGTCAAAACATTTATTTAGGCATCTTAAAAAGTCCTAACCAAGTGATCAAATTGACTTAGTTCATACTTATTAAATATAAATAACATTGGTATACAAAACCAGGAGCTCAGGCTACCTTTCTCCTGAAATACCATGGGCCTGATGCTTCAGAACATTCTCCGGAATTTTATCTTCTCATAAATTATGAGTTTGGAATGAACTTGGAAGATTAGAAAACAAACACATGTGTTTCTGGTATGGAAGCTGAGAACAGAGAACAGCTCCCTGAGCTCTGGATGCAGGTAGGAAGGAAATCCTAGTCTTTAGAAGTCAAAGAGCTGAATCATTGGCCGATTCCCTAGGAAGGAAGCAGCACATGACTCTCAAGCCAGGTTGCAGTTCCTGTGGCTCAGGCAGGTGTTCCAGGGCTCCCTCTGCTGAAGAAATAATGCTCTAACCTTACATACACCATCTTCAAGTTCTTCTGGAGGCAAGTCAGGATTTCTTTCCACGTGGAGGTTCCAGCGATCTAGTTGTACAATCGTCCCGTCTTCTACTTGGCAAAGGATCTTAGAAACAGGTTCATCAGTGTAGCCCTAAGGAATCAAAGAGAAAACCAGCATAGCCAAGGACACTGCCTGCAGGGATGCGCTCTTCTGCCATGACCCTTGATGCATTTTGCAAATAACAAAACAAAGAGAGCCAAGACTATACATTAGAACCAGATTCACTCTTCTGGCCGGGGCTGAGGGTCAGGACCAATTCAAGTCTTCCTGATTATTTTACATGAAGATGCAAGGCCACCCTACCTGCTGTCTTTTAGTAGATACCCCAAAAATCCCCAGGCCTATTACCAAATACCTCCCATCCACCCCCAGTTGTTTTTTATTTTTGTTTGCTTTTTTTTTTGCATGCCAACCTTCCCCCCTCCTCTGCTCATTGTAAATTTAAACTAAAGAAGTTACCAGATAAAATCTGGTTGATGGGCACCTGGATTCTGAATTCTAGCTTATTCCTTGGACAAGGGCAGCATCTTCCCCTTCAAACAGAAGGTCTGTGCACTGGGGGATCCATGGGCAGCCCCTGACGTGGTACTTACCCCTCCCCAGTTGAGAGTTCGAGCCAGGTCGTTCCCCGTCCCCAGAGGCAGGACCCCGACGGGGGGCTGAGGGCTCAACTGCAGTTCATCCAGAATAGAAAGGATCCAGCCCACCTACAGACATATTGGGGGCCAGAAGAGAGATAAGAAAGATAGATAAGTTACTAAGAATACAACTTGACAGGGAGTGACTCTAAAATGACACAGAATGGCTGCATTTTTCTTCAAAGTAGATGTTTTAATCCAGCAGCCAGGGAAGAGAAACACCACTTATTTCAGGTGGTTTCAAAAGAGCAAGTCCTGTCTGGGACATGGGCTATCATAAAAGCAAATCTACACTCATTCTTCTGTATATTTACCCGAAGATCGACAGTAAAATTTAGGACAGTTAAAATTTAGGGAGCAACATATCATAGGGCAATGGAAAGAATCAAAACTCAGAATCAGACTGAATTTCAAGTCTGGTTCTTACTGACTACATAACCTTAAATTATTTAACCTCATTGAGACTCATTTACCTGATTTTCAAAGCGGAGATAATCATGCCTACCTCACAAGGTTGTTTATAGCTTAAATTAAAATGTATATAACGTTCTTCTCTCATGTAAGCATTCATTACACAATTACCCTCTATGGGATCATCTTAGAAATTAGTAGTGTTTTCCTAAATATCCCTATATTCCCCTCCTCTTAATGAAACATTATGAAAACATAATTATGGATGATGGACGTGGTACCTATTATAAGTTTAGGTATAAAACAGATATTCATATACTAGAGTCATATTCCTGTTTCATCTTTTTCAACCATAAATAATACTTAGGGGGCCTCCCCGGTGGCACAGCGGTTGAGCACTGGGTTGCGAAGCTGCCTGCAGCCTCTGCAGCGCCAGTTTGATCCCTGGTGGCCAGGAGAAGGTCCTACATGGCGCACAGACCTCTCCTGCCGCCCGCTGCTCCCCTCAGCAGTGTACTTTGTCAGTCTGCCTGCTCTGCTCTCCGCTCTGACTCTGGTGAATTCTCTGGCCCTCAAGCGCTTCTGACTGTACCCAGTGCTTGTATAAATAAATCAATAAATCTTAAAAAAAAAACAGATAAATTTCATCTTTAAAAAAAATAATAAATAATACTTAGGGCTGTATCTTATAGTAACTATTCAGAAAAATTACCCATATTAAATTTCAAAACAGCCCTATATGACCAATATAATTTCCTTCTTCATTTTAAAGAAACTAAGATGAGGAAGGTTCAGGGACCTCTTTTTTGTCACATTATTAATGGAGTAGAGCTGGCATTCAAAATCAGGCAGGTCAACATCAAAAGACAACCAGCTTAGCCATGGGGTCTAGGGAGCTTTAAATAAAGAATTAAGCCAGTTCTGGGTATGCCTCCAGGGGGGCACCCTGGAGGCACTGGGATAGACTTGTAGAAACTCTGGAGTATTAGAGAAACCTCAGAAATAATTTCATCAAATTCAGTTTAGTTGTAGATGAACTGCATCACAGAGGTCAGATAATTTGCTCCTCGCTAAATAATTACAAGTGGTAAGATGGGAGTCATATCAAGTCCCTTGACTGCTATCTAAGACACTTTCTCTTTTACAACTACTTCCCAGGATGTAAAATGTGCCTGTGAGTCAAGCAATGTAAACTCATGCTTGTCTTCTAGAAGGACAGAGCACAAGATTCACCCAACATGGTAAACCAAAGATCCAAACCAGTAAAGGCACAAAAAAGCTCCTGTCTTCCCACACTGCACATTTATTTACTCTAGACAAGTCCATAGAGTCGAGCCCAGAGCGGCAGTAGCTTTTCTTCCACACCCAATATTATCAAAACTTGCTACTGAAGTTAAAAAAAAAAAAAGAGCCAGCTGCTAAAAAGCTCTGATGAATGTGCTAGACACGGCTCCTCAGTAACAGCACCCACTACACACACAAGCAGATGCCTCTAACAAACTATAAGAAGGGGGGTTTAAAAGTCATTTCAAAGCATGTGAGACCTCAGCTACCAGGGAACACTAACTCCAGACACAAACAGCCCTCGGAGGACCACTCACTCACTGAACTTAACAATGGAACTTAACAGAAATCTAACAGAACATTCCATATGGAGAAGGGAGAGCAAGCAGTCTCTTCAACATTTCTCTGGAGATGATCGTTCAATCTCCCCTTTATGACTTGTACTCACAGGTCAGCCTATTTTCCTTCAGGCAGATTTAAATTAGAACATTTCTAATATTTAGTTAAAATATCTTTTCTTGGTGAAGATAATGTCATGTACGAGTTCAGACTTCCAACACCCCATTTCACTCTAGACACAAGAAAAGAAAACCCAGTCTCCATGGACCAGAAACAAACAAAAGGGCTAGGAGAGGATGCCCAGAGTTTGGATTCTGCCGGGTAAAAGGAAGTCAAACAGCGCTCCCTACTGGCTACAGGCTGTGTCTGCGCCTGGCCCCTCGGGCTGGGGAGAGCTGAAGAACGAACGGCTGCCTGAGGCCTCGGCCCAAGGAAGGCTGAGACCAGAGACTCTCTCCCATAAATCACCCTAGCTTCTGCCAGGTCAGCAACTTACCAGAAACACCCTGACATCTCCTGGGCACAGGAGCCTTAGTCACTTACAGAAAACTGCCTCACGTCTGTGGAGTCCTGGAGAGCACCCACACTACTGGAAAGGCCAGTGAGTATACCACAGAGGACAAAAGGGAAGGATCAGACCAAAAACTTCCTCTGAAGATAAGCCTGCAAGGAAAATCCTCAATCAGGCTTCCCCAGTGGCACAGCAGGTTGAGCGCAGCGCTGTGAAGCTGTCTGCAGCCTCTGCAGCGTGGGTTTGATTCCTGGTCGGCCAGGGAGATTCTCACATGGTGCGGCAGACCTCTCCTGTTTCGCCTGCTGCTCCCCTCACAGTGTCTGCCGTCGGTCTGCCTGTACTGCTTCCCGCTCTATCCCTGGTGAATCCTCTCACCCTCCTGGGCCTCTGGCCTATACCCCAGTGCTTGCATTAATTAATTAATTAATTAATTAATCTTAAAAGAAAAAGCCTCAATCACGGGACAATGCTAGTACCACGATGGATGGAAAGGTCGAGGGATTATTTCACACTCCATGAAATACAAATAATCTCCAAGCAGTCTGAAGAGTCCAGAAGCTTCCATGAATCTATGAATCTAACAGTCCTCTGGAGGGGCATACCCACTCTCATCAAACCGTCTCAAGCTCTGTTCCTGTTTGTTCCCTCGAGAAGGTAGCCAGGAATCCAGGTGACACTGGGCTAAGGTCCACCAAGTGTCTGAGCCTCAGGACCCTGCATTTCTTGCCATCTCCTTCCCCACGAGACACTTGGCCACAGAGACAAGGAAAATGCAAGCCTGGTATGAATAAAGCATCTGTCCTTTCTTATCAATTCCTTATCACCTACCTGTCTGTGACCAGCTCAGTGAAGATGTGAAATCAAACTGGATACATTGATCTCCTTTTTCCAATAGTCACCTAAGAACATATTTGACTTCCTCCAAATACAAGCAGGTAATCTTAGCATTTCACCATTACTTCACCTTGGGGTCAGTAAATCCTTTTGCCTTTCACAGCACGAATTTCTTTTTACTTTTTCTTGTCTGATGAGCAACCAGTTTAGACTAACAGTTCTTTGGCTCTATCATTCCTCCACACAGCTTGCCCAGGACCTACACCGTCAAGACCCCAACAACCAGCTTCCTCAGAGCTCCATGACTTATGGGTCTGGGAAGGGCAGGAGTCAGGCGAGTGTAAGGAAGTCCCTAATCTAAGGTCCCACATCTGTAAAACAAGGATACCAGCAGCATCTGCCTCCTGGGGTATTTCGCCAGTCAGCACAGGTCAGCACATTCTGGCAAATAGGAGATGCTAAATTAACATTAGCTACTATGATTGCGCAACTTTTTTCTTCCTGGTTCTAATCACTTCTATAAGGTCCAGTTTCTTAGAAGCAAATACTCCCTTCCTAACTCTTGACTTAAAGAAAAGTTGAGCCTGAAGTTTAAAAATCAATGCCACCTCTGCCAGCCTATCAGGGAGTATTTTTTCCCACAGATTATGAAAAACAGTAAGGACCAGGTGTGTGGGGTAGAGGACACTATAAAATAAGGGAATGGGAACTAATATACTTACAATAGCAGGAGACATAAAAAGGTTTTGAGTCATGATACGTTATCACACTTCTGTCCTTAAAAGAGCAAAACTAGGGCCTCCCCGGTGGCGCAGCAGGTTGAGAGTCACGCTGTGAAGCTGTCCGCAGCCTCTGCAGCACGGGTTCGAGTCCTGGCTGGCCAGGAAGAATCCCACATAGTGAGGCAGAACTCTACTGCCTCGCCCGCTGCTACCCTCAGTCTGCCTGTTCTGCTCCCCGCTTTGTCTCTTGTGAATTCTCTCACCCTCCCACGCCTCTGATTGTACCCCAGTTCTTGTATAAATATAGCTTTAAAAAAAAAGAGAGAAAAACTATGTCAAAGATCTTAAAGCCCCGACGCTGCTGCAGGAGGCTCTATGCCCGTCACCAGGGGCCAGTACCTGCTCCACGTCCAGACCCTGGGCTCATGGGCAGGGCCTGTGTTTCTGTTGCTTTCCCGGCTCTCCGAGTCATCACCACCTGCACATGCAGCAGCCCTTCCATTACTCTATTTAATTCCCGGCAACAGCAGTGGGCAGAGTCTTTCCTGCTTTTGTTTTTTGTTTGTTTGTTTTTAATTTTATTTTTATTTATATATATTTACATCGTTGTTCATTTTTAAAGAGCAGGACTGGCCAAGCTAGGACACTAGGTCCTGCTGGGCCCTGGGCAGCCCAGCCCTGTCTCCGCTGCAGCAACAGCTGGCCGATGCTGCCACCTCCTGTCCACGTTTGGCCTTAGCTGTCCCTGGAAGTTCCCAAGAACAGATGTTTGTATCCTGCGCTAAACGGACTTGATGCAGCAGAGGGGTGGAGAGGACAGAGAACTGACATCTTCTTGAACAAAGCAGAGGTGTGTGGCCTTTGCTTCCAGCACAGGCAGGCAGAAAAGCTCAGGATTCTCATCCTGAAAACTCAAGTGATCCTGACAGCATTAGACGCCTGGGTCTCCCTGTCTAACAAGTGAGCTGATTCCTCCTTTTGAGACTGTAACTGATACTTTCTTTCTTAGTTCACAAAGTCACCACATGTCAAAAGGAATGTTTAAAATTGGCCCTGAAGAAATCGAGATAAGAGCCAGGGGGTGCTTTTTGAAATAGAATGTGGATTTAGGCCATTCTCTGTGGCTGCCCCTGAGGGAGGACCTGAGACAGGTGGCTGGACAGAGGCCGAGGGATGGGATGTGGACTGTCCCCTTGCAATGAAAGGGAAATAATGTTTTTTTTTTCCTGCTGTGACTAGGAAATCAGGGCGCTGGGGTGTTTAGCTGTTTAGAATGTAGCCATTTGAGCAAGAAATACACATGAAGTGGGCTACTAAAGTCAACTGAGCACCAGGTTTTTGGAAAAAAGTTAAAGGTGGGTGTGCTGGTCAAGCCCCAAGTGTCAAGTTCAGGGCCACACAGGTGAGGACCATGTTACACCTTAAGGCACCCCAAAGAGGGGAGGGGTGCACTTGCCTTTCTCAGTTCCCCAGCTCTTCGATGTTAAACCGGGGTGGCAGCCTCAGGCTGGAGGGGAGGAACTGTGCCCAAGGACGGGGAGAGAAACACTTTGCCACATGACCCCTGGGACCTTCTAGTTTGTAAACAGGAACATCTGAGATCATTCTTGGGCTGCTGATTGATTCTCTGCCTGCAGATCAAAGATGCGACCAGCCCACTGGACCTGCAGCTGCATGTCCACCTCCAGTTTCTGAAAACCCTTTGCACAGAGACCACGACTGTCCTGTCCACTGAACAGCCACCACTGCCGTGGAGAAGGAGCACATGAACACGGCTAACCCAAAGCACAAACACAGGCCGGATTTCAGAGACGGTGCCCGCTGCACATAAAACAGCACACGGATTATTTTTGTATTAATGGCCTATCAGAATGACAATATTTTGGATACATTGGGCTAATAAACTAGAATATAAAGTTAATTACACTTTATTTCTTTTAATTTTTTAAAGTGCCTTCCAGAAAGCTTAAGATTAAAAATGTGGCTGGCATCACACTCTCAAGCAGCAGTTGTCAGTACTACTGTAATGCTGCAGCGGTGAACAGCCCTGGAGATCCAGATGTAACCCTGTGCAGGTTCAGAACCTCTCTGGACAGGTCAAGGGCTGTGCCAGTGCTCACAGACATGTGGCAGGACCGCCTCTCCCACCCCGGGACATAGGGAGATACACACCACGGCGCTCTGCCCATTTGTATTTTTTAATACAGAACATTAGAGTAGGTAATACTGAAGCCAAAGAACTCTTTCTCTAAAGCAATGCAAGATGCATCCATGTTAAACAACACTGTGTACACTGGCATTGCACTTACGGTATTCGAGTATCCATAAACACCCTGGAGCCACGACTCTCTCCCTTCTGGGCATGTGGCTTCCTTACTCCGTCCTCTCTAGCACCTCCTTGATGAGTATTCCATGATTAGTGGGTTGTCCAAAAGCTAAATATTACTTATTCTATGTTCCAGGTACTTCTCCCTCTTATGGGCCTTATCTGCATTCCTGACCTCAGTTTTCACTTCCTTCCTATAACTCACAAAGGCGCTAGACACTGACATTGGGCCCCTTGCAGTGGGCATGCCTGAAATAAAAGTAGCCTGCTTCCCTGGAGTCTGTGCACGCTTTTGAACAGGTTGTCTTCTCAGTACCCTCACCTATCAGTCTGGTCCCTGGGCATCAAATCCTTGCTTATCTTGCCCATGTGGACCAAGTTTCAGTTCATTTTACCTTGTGAAATAAGGTCTTTGGTGAAAGATACATGGGTCTATGAAATGTTCATCAAGGTATGTGATATTTTTAGCTTCTTAAGTTTAGAATAGGGAACTTTCAATCTTGAGTGGGGGCAGAGATTCTGGGGGCACCTTGACAGATTCATGAAGAAGAGCTGCTGGCTTCACAAGTGGGGTGTAGTGCTCGAGTCTCAGGTACAGGTTGGCAGAGGGGCTCAGCCTCTAGTTAGCGAGCGTCCCTGTCACTGTCAGGATCCTGCCAGTGCGGTGACAGAGCTCCAGTCAGAGTCAGAAATGGAATATTTTTGACAGATTAGGATGAGCATCTGGTCACTAGGATCCAGGTCTCCCCAGTACCCTAGTTTTCATCCCAAACACTCTTTTAAAGCTGTTTGCACATCAGCCACACGTTGCGTACTGGCCTCCACTGGCAAAGGTGATTCTGTGGATCCCCCACAGGATATAGCCACTGCCTTTCCTGAACACCCCTTTTTTGGTTCTTTTCTTCATCAAACTAGTTAGAAATGTTTTCAAATATTTATCCAATGGAAGAGGCTGCCTAGAACCACAGGGCCCAGAACACACTGCCTGTGCCCATCTTGAAAGTGAAGGGGAAGAAGAGAGGTGGCAGGTCCTGCCCGTGGCAGGGAAACCCCAACAGTGCAGCTTGTGCAGCTTGTGTGGTGCTGGTTCGATCCCGGCTGGCCGGTGAGGGTCCCACATGGCGCAACAGACCTCTCCTGTCTCGCCCGCTGCTCCCCTCAGCAGTGTACTTCGTCAGTCTGCCTGTTCTGTTCCCCACTCTGTCTCTGGTGAATCCTCTCACCCTCCCATGCATCTGGCCTGTACCCCAGTTCTTGTATAAATAAATAAATCTTTTTTAAAAATTATTAAAAAAAAAAGAGGACGAACTATGAGTTGAGACACCAGGTATATCCTCAACCTACCTAGTCACTGAGATTAGAGGAGAAAAGATGTGAGTGGGGAGCTGACGTTACAGAGGAAGGAGCAGGCTCTAAAATAAGGAGGATAACTGCAGGAAAGGGTCACAATGAGTTTAAGTTTTTATTAAAGATAACTAATCTGGGGGAACAGCTGAGCCAGGTGTGTCCGTGTGTATGCAGGGGGGCGGGTGTGAGTGTGGGTGTGTGCGCACGTGCATGCGCATGCGCTCAAAGGATTAGTTTGGATGTAATTCTTACTAAAGGAAGTTGAGAAATTCCACACTAGCATATCCCTAAATATACCCCCTTAGAACAGTACAGTTGATTGATATTTAATTGCCATGGGGAGATACAGATTCCATGGTCAAATAATTTTGGAAAACACTAGGGTAAACAAAGTGAAACAGGATAGTCAGACTTTATAATGAATCTTATAAGCTAACAGTGTGTGTAGTGAAATTGAAGAATGATAAATAGCATTTCCCTAATTGAAAAACATTTTCCTCTTCACACTATTGTATTTTTTTCCAGTTGCATTTACTAGTATGTAAGGTATATCCAATGCTGTATTAAGTACTCATTCACTATGAGAGTTGGAATTAGAAGATTTCATTGCTATTTGAGAATAAAACATTTTAGTAAGGAAGATTAGGGAAAAAGCCAAAGATAGGCATAACAAAATCCTAGATTCTATGAGACCAAGCTCTAAGTATACTTGATAGCAGAATCTAAATGTCATGATTGTCAATTCTCAACCTAAGTAAAAGTCAAATGAAGAAACAGATAAAACAAATAAACAGGAAAAAATACATCCGTACTACTGAACTTCACCCCAATACCATCTTTTCTTCAAAAATGAAAACAAGTAGAATCAATCAATGATCTTTACGTGAAACCAACGTTAGCATTCTAAGCTTCATTTCTACTTGAAAAGTCACAATCACTCAACTATACCCTCACACTTGTCCTTAATAATTGTGAGCAAGTGAAAATAAGTCAGCATTTTTAATAGAATTTACTCATTTATATTACCTTCATTCTAATGAACCCTGTTGTGGAACAGGAAAGGAAATCTTGTAGATGAGGGAGCGAAACATAATGTACAAAAATCAAGTGTGAAACCTAGAGGCTAGGGGATTGGAAGGACTCTGGGGTAGGAATGAAGAAAGAGAACTCTCTTCAGGAAAACAAAAGGTAAAGGAGAGAACTGGATTCTATTTCAAGGACCTACCGTTCCGTCCCCTCCACAGGCCAGAATTCGCAGATTTGGCACTTTCCTATACAACTCGAGCCTGCAGAGGAATTAGAAGGTACCGTGAACAAAAGCACATGCCTCTGAACATTGCAGCGAGAAAACCCTCAGCAAAAGAGGGTTGGGGCCGGGGTGTCTACTGGAGAAAGCGCAGAATCACGAGGACATTATTAGCAAAACGAGAGCATCCCGGGAGGACAGGTTCCAACAACTGGGTCAGAAGTTGGCAGCAAACATTTAAAAGGTTGACATCAAGTGGGAGTTTAGGATGTCCTGGAGTTTCGGTTCCCGTAATTCCTACTAATGTGCCAACTTATTATTTTCCCTCTGGGCTGTGACTTCCTTGTTTTTCTTTTCCCATCATCTCCCTCTTTTCTTTCACAAACAAAAATCATACAAATTGGCCATCAACAGTCCTTGTATTTCTCCTCATTATATTTTATTAGCTTTCCTGCGTCCATTGATTTTCCAGACCAGTACTTCCCACTCTTAATCCTGGGAAATCTTTCTCAGAGGTGGGAGAGGACACCCAACTGGCATGACTGCCTCACTGACATCCTGCCCCCCCTTTATATTCCTGAACCATGATTGCTAAGTTTGCTGAATGACACTATTCATAACTCCCTTTTAGAAAATTTAAAAGAAACAGTATTTTTCTGAAAATATTTTCTTCTTTCCATGTCCTTTATGACCTTCGAGTGTCTCCCTATAGTCTAACGAAAATGATAACATTTTAAATAAAGTATGCAAAAGGGCAAAATCCAGAGTAGCAGATTTGCCTCAGTATATTTAATTGCAGAAAAAGTACCAATGTCATACAGCAAACTCTAGTGGCAAAGAATATCACAGATTAAGAGAATGGCAGAAATTAACTTTTAAGTTCAGTGTTATGCTGAATGCCTAAAATATATCATTATACATCTCAACCAGGAATATCATTTCTCTAGAAATTATCTGAACTTTACCCCGATATTGCTATTTATCTGAAAATATTTAGTATCTTTAAATTCTAATGTTCACGACATCCAAACTCTCTAAATACATGGTGTTCAAACGAGAATCAGACAACGGCAGACAACATCTGTTCTTAACTACCATGAACCCCAAAGAGGAGCTCCGGGGTATTGCCACCGATAGCTAAACCTTCAATTTCCACACTTCCAACAAAAACAGGAACAAAAAATTTCTACAAAGTTCAGGAAAGGGATCGGGTAGGAGTTAAAATGTCCCCCCACTCTGGTGTGGACGCTATAGGTGTAATTAATCAATCTCTGTCTCAAGTGAACACAAATGCACAGGCACATTAGCCTCTAATTCAAACATACTCATAAAAGATACGGTGCTTCTGCACACAGAAACACTCCACTCCCAGGACTAGTACATCTCCGGATTTGTACATGCACACACAGGAAACAATGGACCCTTGCTCAGGTCACGGGCTTGCTAATCATCTACAGTTGCAGGCACTAGAAGTAATCATGCGCCAACGCTGAGTTAACGACTAAGAAGCTAGGTGAAAGGAATTAACCCAATCAAGAAGGAAACGATAGATGAAGTTGTAAAGAGAGTAAAGTTGAGAAGGTAGATGAGACACACTCAGGAAAGAATTCACAGAGTAATGAAGAAATGAAGCTTGGCTCTAAGCGGAAAGGGCTTCTCACTTGCCTAAAGGGAGTATGTTTCACGGCGAGTATTCCCAGACTTACGCGTCTTTCGGTCCTTCCTGAGAAAGATCGAAGACTTGCCTCGGGTTCAGGTACCACATAAACATCTGCAGAACTTTGGTTCCCTGTGAGGGAAAAAAAGAAAACAGGGAGAAATTTCCATATGTTAGTTGTTCATTTAAAAATAGAGTCTGTTATCAAAAATGGTATCTAACTATAAGCAGCATAAAGAATTAATTTAAATCATGGGTTTTGGCCTTTGACAGACACAGATCAAATGCCCAGACTAGACTTCTGTTTAAAGTGAAATTCTGGGCAAGTTTGTTAATTTCATTAAGCTCAACTCTCTCCTCTGGTCAGAGACAAGAATGTCCAGTTCTACCAGGAAAAAGAATAACTATAAGAAAGAAAAAAATCAAAATCAACAAACAACTATGAACCAGAGACACTCTTTGTGGGGGGAGGGGAAGGAGGGATTGGGGCCAAAATCGGGGTTGCAATTGTATGGGGAATATAAAATAAAAAAAAAAAATAAAATGAGTGACCTAGATCAACAACAACAACAACGAAAAAAGAATGTCCAGTTCTCAGATGAGCTGTGAGGGCTCCTTGCCGTCATGTTTGACGAGCACATGGCACCCTTTAGCATGCAGCAAGTGCTTAATAAATAGTATCGTTGGTTTTACCATCATTAGCTAACATGAAAATCCACATAAGAAGCTGTTAGTAAACTTATGCAGCTCAACATCAATTTTCACTTCACTGTTTCTGCATAATATGAAATGTGGATGGTATTAGCTAAGGATGATTTCATTGAAATAAATGTGGAACTGAAGCTAAAGTGACAATGGCTCTGTGTTATCGATAATATAGACATATAATTCCTCTATTTAGTGGTGTCAAATCTTACTTTAGCAGTTTTCAATTTCCATGTCTACATCTGTGTGTCTACAACACACATTTCTCACATGAACATTTTTGGGCATGTTGAAAATAATTGTGACAATTTTAGAGTCAATCACTGTGGCAAACACTAGGCGGATGTGCAGATCATTTCTCAAAGTGCACTGAGCAAAGAGGACATGAAAGAAACATCTTTGGATTAAACAGCATCAAAAGAACTTTAAATAGGGTGCTGCTGCGATACCACCTTACACCAGTGAGAATGGCACATATCAAAAAATCAAGCAACAACAAATGCTGGCAAGGATGTGGTGAAAAAGGAACTCTCCTGCATTGCTGGTGGGAGTGCAAACTGGTCCAACCACTGGAAAGCCGTCTGGAGGTTCCTCAGTCTACTAAAAATGGAGCTACCATATGATCCGGCAATTCTACTAGGGATCTACCCAAAGGACACAAAAACAGTGATTCAAAAGAGCACCTGCAACCCTATGTTTATTGCAGCATTATTTACAATAGGCAAAACCTGGAAACAACCCAAATGCCCAAAAATAGATGACTGGATCAAGAAGATGTGGTACATATACACATTGGAATATTATTCAGCGATCAAAAAAGGTAAATTCATGCCATTCGCAGCAACGTGGATGGAGCTAGAAGGAATTATGCTCAGTGACATAAGCCAGAAGGAAAAAGAAAAATATCAGATGGTTTCACTTATAACAGGAATATAGGGGAACCAAATAAGATCAGTGTAAAATAATAATAATAATAATAACAACAGTACAAAACATAACAAAGCAAAAACAGACAATTATAAACCAGAGACATCCTGCAGGGGAGGAGGTGGGAGAAGGATCAGAGGGAGGGAGGGAGGAACCCAGGGGACTGAGGTGATGGTGCCCGGGTGCCTTGGGGAAGGAAACTCTATGGGACTCAATCTGAGGGGGTGGGGGAAGCAAATATTGTCTAAAAAAATGATAAATGTCAAAATAAAAAAAATAATTAGAAAAACCAAATAGAGTGCTCATTTTAGGTCATTATGAACCACAGCAAGTGATATTTGATCTGTTGCATGGAGTCTGTTGCTTATAATGATAGTTCCTTTATTAGATATCATGACTGTTTGTTCTTAAAACATTCCAAGTCCATATACCCACTGTGCTGTAATTGAGAGTATAGGGTAAATGGAATTATCAAGCCTTTTGCACCACTAGCCTCTGTGGCTATCACCAGTGGCCTTGGTTATGTTAATGCACAAGGTACTCGGGAGTGTGGGTGCCTGATTGTGGACACCTGGCGTATGGGGCGGGGGGGGGGGGTGCACGCATGCGTAAGTGCACCCCTGAGCCTAGATAAGGGCGATAAGGGTGGCATCACTCAGAGAAGAGCAGCTACAAGAGGATGAGTGACTACAGAAGAGGCGAGACCCTAAGAGAACCCCAGAGAGAGCCCAGAGAAAGAGTAAAGATTCGTGGGGGGCTGGGATGCAGCTGCCTGTCTGCCTCCTGCCCTCTCCCCACCTACCCAGTGCTGGCTGGCACTGCAGAGTGACCCCAGTACAGTAAAATAGCACCATTTAGAGTCAGTGCTAATTTGGACGTTCTCACTGGGTGATCAGGAGCATTTACAATGTTGCAGAAGTTCAGCATATAAAATAGGAGACGATATCTACACTCCAGGGTGATTATGAGAATTAAATGAGCCAGTAATAGTTATGTATCTAGCACAGTATGTGGCACGAAACAGGCCTTTGTACATTTTAGTCCCTTTCTTTTTTGCTGCTTGTTAATCTATTCATTAAATTACCCTGGAGGGTGTGAGGGCTAACGTGTAGGTTATAATTATCACATTGTTATGTCAGTTGTTACAGAGGCCAATGCAGGTCCTTTGTTCCACATTTCATCCAAGCCTATAATTTAAAAGTTCTGCATTATCGTGTGCTTGCTATAAAATTAGGAATAACATTCTATCCTTAATTATCACAACTAATCCTTCAGTTCCACCAAATGACATATTTTGCTTCCTATAAAATTCAGACATAGGTTTAGAGACTCAGTACAAAATAAACACTGGATCATTCCCTACCTCCCTACCTGGGACCGTGCTAGCAGGTCAGTAGAGGGTTATCTTCATATTTTCTAGGTAACACCAGAGTCATTTTAATAATTAATTTTAAAATTTCCAACTGACTTACTAGAAAATTAACTTCTGAGTTTTAGATTTCTAGAGCAATAGAATTGTTGGTTTTAATGACGCCTTTGCACGGACAGCTATGGTAGAATGCACTTCTCAATAAGGCACCCAATGCTAAGTAATTAACACCTTTCAAAAATAAAAAGCATTAAAAGGTTGTTTTTCTTAATCTAAAATTTCTCTAAAAGGTTTGAGTGGCCACACCATATTGTTTTTGTTCATTTTCAATTTGTGTTTGTTGGAACCCTAATTATCTCTACCCTTTTGAGGAAGGGGTATTAATTAAGGCTGGCAAGTTTTGCATGGCTAACCTCTAGGAGGCTCCTTCCACACTGCAGTCTGCTGGAATCCTGTCCTGGGGACGTGTGGAGCTGCCTCCCACAGCCCTGCGAGGCTACCCTATCAGACTTTACAGTCAGACACGACACAATTATTTCAAAAAGTGATCTTTCTAAAATACATCTACTAGGAAAAATAGTAATTGAATGAAGGCATTGAATTTTTTTAAATCAGTCTTGTGGGTGGATAAAAAAGGTTTAACACACTCTTGAGGTCTGTTAATGCTGCTCTTACCTCTAGGAGAATCTACTTTAGGGCTTTGATAGAGGTAATTTATTCCATGGAACCAGAAGATGGACCGACAAATACTAACTCACCAGGAAGAGTAATTTCTTTCTTTTTCTTTGGCAGATTAAACCTACTCAGTCATTTACACAACTGTCACTCCTAAAAGTCCCAAACACCCTCAGAGTTGCACATGCTTAGTGCAAGAATCTAGTTTTGTCTAAATGGAAAAAAAAAAAAGTGTACACTTAACTCCAATACACCCTTAAGAGGGTTCTCACTTCTACAGCTGTGGATCTATAATTTCACCAACAATAGAATTTCACAAGCAATCATGAGTGGACATTGCTCATGGGGTATAGAACATTCTTTCCAGCTTCAGGTATTGGGGAACAGTGTGAGACAGGAAGACTATAACTTGCCAGAAAGAGCAGATTGTTCTAGAGGGAAATGAACAGGATTCATCCATTCACCTCCTACAGACCACGCACAGTTTTAGGTGAAGAAATAGAGAGATGGACAAGACAGAAAAAATCTTGCTTTCCACAGCAGTTCTAAGGATTATTCAGAAAAGAAAATATGATGATAATGATATGAGGTATGGAAGATTAGTTAGGAATGAGTCAGCTCAAATAGCATCTCAGTCTACCTCAAAGCTCTGTAACTCTTGTGTACACGAAACACTGAGAGGTCACTACGCTAGCCCTAGTTTCTATCACACAGGAATCATCTAGACCATGGAAAGAACAACTGCCAGACAATAAGAAAGGCCCACGGAAAATAAAAACCAGTGGGAGACAGGAGTTAAAACACAGTCATTTCAAACTGGATCCTAATAACCCCAAAGGAATACCTAATTCATTCCATAAACATGTATGTATCAGGCTCCTACTGTGCATCCACACACACATTCAGGAACTCAGAGGAGTTTTATCCACATGGAGCAAACTAGTTCAGTGCAGATGCTGGACAAGAGATGCCTGTGAAGAAGCCTCAGCAGCCCATAGTGCCCAGTTGGGGGATTACATGAAGGCCTCCCTGGTACTGCGCCTGGACAGTGTTGGGAAAACGAGTAGTGCTGACCGTTTCTTTTTTTAAAAAATAGATTTATTTTTTTATTTATGCATACAAGAGCTGGGGTACAGGCCAGAGGTGTGGGGGGGTGAGAGAATTCACCAGAGACAGAGTGGGGAACAGAACAGGCAGATCTACTGAAATACACTGCTGAGGGGAGCAGCGGGTGAGCCAGGAGAGGTCTGCTGTCCATGTGGGTAGCCCCCTGGCTGGGGCTCGAACTCAGGCTGCAGTGGCTGGTGATAGCTTGAAAGCGCTGAGGCTTTAACCCCTGTGCCACCAGGGAGACCCTTTTTTTTTTTTAAATGGGACTCAACAGTTTATTGTCTATGGGTTACTGCAGTTGTTAGTTTTCCTCAACTTGTGCTACTCAAACTTTGTGAAGTCTAGAAATATGAAACCAAAGTGGTAGGAAAATGAAGACTCGGCTCTTTCACTCAACGGTGTACATCAAAGGTGTCCACTCAAGGGCAAAAATGGTGAAGGAGTTTACCATTTCTTTGCACAGGTTGTAGAGGAAGAAGTTCCAGGGTAAAGGCACAGGTGTGTCAAGCAGCAAGACAAGCCATAGAAACCTACGTTGCATTCATCTGAATTGCATTGAAACACGCAGCAGGAGTGGTGGAGCCGAAGCTGCTGGAAGCTGCTCAGGTGAGCAGCGAACTCAACCTCCTGGCGGGTTCCTTGAGCATGGCCTTCCCAGCCTCAGAACCGTGAGAAAAAAATTCCTGCGTTCCTGTTCTTTGAGAGCAGCCAGAGCAGACTAGAACAGACTAGAACAGCTGCCTCCACCCTCCCGCCAACAACAGGGGTGTAAAGGGACTTCCCACAGATTCCTCGAGTAAATGTCTTACGTCCATCTTTTGAGGACTATTTGATGAGGAGCTCTTCACACTGGGCTTGTGAACTGCCCCTCCACCCTCTCCCCAGCCTATCCTAAGCATTAGGAGGCTAAAATTTTACCTAAATGATGATTTTTCATTATCCCAGGAATGAGCTTTGCAGAAAATAACACCTTCACTGAGGTTGTTTACCCAAGTATTGAGAAACAGCTTGGAGGCTCAAACCTCCTATTTAAAATTATTTACTGTCTTTATCTTCCCCTTCTCCCCACAACCCCCTGACTGATTTGCCCCAACTTGGGAGGGGTGCCCTGGGCTGGGAAGTCTGTTCACAAATGGTGCTGTGAGTCCACTCATATGAGCCAGCCTGTCCACAGACAAGAAACCCCTTCCTCTTACCACCTACTGCTGAGGTACCCCCAGAAGGATCTAACTCACAGCACCGGGCACTGGGATTCACAGTGAGTGTGTGAGGAAGAGCAGGGTCTGGACCCCTCCACTCCCAGACTGTAAGGTCAGGACACCTGCTTAACCCTAAGTGTATCATGATGTCACTGGAAGGTTCGTAGAGAGTATGAGCTGGAGACAGAGTGAACACAGAAGTGTCACAGGGGATCAGAAGGGTCTGTGAGACTCATGTAGAAAGATGTTAGTGAGCAGGTGGGGGAGGGTATCCAAGAAAAATGCCAAGTTCTGAAGTTAGAGAGGACATAAGTGTAAGGGAATCCTCAGGTCAACAGTGCCACACAGAGGAGGGATCATTCAGGAACAAACGCCCTCACAGACCAGCTTTTTCTGTGAGGAGACACTGAGTTGGGTTATGGTCCATGAACCCAGTGCCTATTCCCTCAAATAATTCAAACCAATCATAATAGTGCCAGCAACTGCTAAAGTTTTGCAAAATGCCCAGTATCCTATCTACTTTCAAGGGCCTAGGGAAACAGAGAGTTATTGTGAAAGTTGTGTTCAAAAGAAGGGATTTTTTTTAAAGGGATTGTTTAAAGAGATAAGCAGTTCCTAAATGTGTTCATTCTAATACCCTCGTGCAGAGTGTTGGGAATTTTCATAAAATAGTGACTTTCTTAAAATCTATAGGAAATTTCTTGCCAGCAGATGGCGATGTAGGACAGCGATTCATGGACAGAATAAAAGCTAAGCAAGTTGGAAAAAGTCTGATGTCTAAGTTTCAAAAAGGGATGAGATGACAGTGCTTTTTATCCAGAAGCAGATGAGTGAAATAAATAACTGGGGCGCTTATGCCAGTTAAAGGTAAAATCAGGACCTAACAACAAAGTGTTCTGGATTGCAGTAAGCCCTTGCTAATCAGCGTATTTTGGGTAAACTCTCAGCCATGTCTTCCACCCACCAACAAAACACACACACACTCACTGAGTCAGAATCACCATTTTAACAGGAGTCCCCAAGTGATTCAAGTGCACATTAAAGCTTGAGAAGTCCAACTTTTCCATACTGGCTACACAAGAAAATAACTGGTGCACTTATGCCAGTTAAAAGGTCCTGACTTAACTAGTTCTGACTGATTAGTATGGGGTAGGACAGACATCATCAGCCTTTTCATTGGTGCTGGGACACTGAAATCACCGAAGCCTCTAAGTTAAACTCATGAAAAATTACTCACCTGGTTGCCTCCACTCTTGGGGTTCACAAACACAAGCAAGGGTTTCATGAGAGGAGAAGAGATAGGTTTTATCACAAAAGGTCGACCTTTGCTTTCCTGCTAAAGGAGAAAAACAACGCAGGTGAGACACACGTCCATGATTTGCAAGGAACCCCAAAGCCCAAGGAACAGGAACTGCCAACACAGCCAAGCACCCCCAGCCTTCAAGTGAAGAACAAAAACAATCTACCTACTGTCTAGTTCGGTAGGTCTACTCTCAATTAGACACTCATATAAAGCTTGGAAGAAAGTACTTCAAGCTATAATTTGCCCCTGAGAATAAAGCCAAGCTTTGGGCGCCATCATCTTTGGGGTAGTATTTCCAGACAAGTGCAAATGTGCTAACTCTGAAGTGGCAGGATGTTACACACACACACACACACACACACACAGAATAGATAAATTTCCAGTGTGCTTTGAGTGCAGTGAAAGAGAAACAGCGGCAGGAGATACTGCAGAAAATGAAGTGTGGGCCAGAACACAACATCAGACAGAGGTGACTATGGGAAGGCGGGTACATTTTGTTGAACACTTACTTCGGCTCCTCTTTTACTGGCTTTTCTCTTAAAGCTTGTTCTCTTCTTCTTCCGATTTGAAGCCTTCAAGGAGTTCTGTCGGGGAAGAAAGACGCACCTGAGCTCAGAGGCAGGAAGCCCATGAGCTCCCCATGCAGAACCATGTAGAAGATGAGGCGGCACATGCTTTTGACCGCATGCTTCTCATGCTTTGACACTTCCAAGCCACCGGTCATGGGTAAGCCACAGACAGATCAGTCGAGTGCTTCAGAGTGAGCAACTGACTCCCCACCACACGGAAGAGGCAGGGAGTTAGAACCCCGGAGGCTCTCATGGACTCACATAACAACACATGTTATACCTGCCAACCCTCCCAGTAAAAATGGAAGAATCCCAAATTCTCTGAGGGGCTCCAGTCTCCCGCCCAACCAGGTCCGTCTCCCGCCCAACCAAGTTCAAGTTCATCTCCTGGTATGGAGATCACCTATGTGGAAATGTAAAAAAGGAGGCCATTTTTCATGTTTTGCTTTTTGCTTTTTGCTTTTTTTCACTGCTCGTTTTTTGTAGGGACCTGTTCTAGTAGTAATCATAACATAATTCTTGACCCCAGTGGAACTTGATCCAGCTATCCTACTGTCACTGACAACTGAATTTTAAAATGCAGGGATAAGACTCACCTATAACAGTGTGGTGGCAACAATTGCTCCTCCTTTTGCTTACCTAGTGAGCCACGGGTCAGAAAATTCTTCCCTCCCCTGGTAGCCTTGAGTTTTTCTCCTCATAGATGTGCCTCCAATTTGGGGAAATACAATGACCCCCAATTTACTTTCCTTGTCTTTCTAGAAATTTTATGAACCACAGCATCGTGATTACTTCAACTAACCGTTTATTATTAATATTGGCTACAGATGCTCTGACAAGAACCTCTTTCAGAAAATAGTCACAACTCATTGGTTGAAGACAGGGCAAGAACAGGTCTAATTAGTGGAGCGTCATTAATTAATCAGATTGCCACCTTCACAAAGGCAAAACATTACTGACCACGTAACAGCTATTTAAGAAATTGTTGAAAACCTGAAATAGAGAATTCTTAACTTAAAATCTAATAAACGTATTTTTCAAACAGCATGAATAAACTTAGATATATGTTCTCCTTTTTGGGTATTCTTTTTTCTTAGAACATCCAAAAAAAAAACCTTCAGAGTACTTATATTAATACATCCAAATTAGCAAAATCCAAACTATTTAGCTTTTATGTTGATTTGGAACATGAAAAAAAAAAAAGTTGGTTGGGCCCATGCTCACTAAGGGTAAAGGAAACTTTCTTGAACCACCATGAGTTCCAAAGTTTTTATCCTTCATCAGATTAAAAGCAAGTGTCTTTAGAGCCTCTTAATCTTACCAGTAAAGGGAGCCCAAAGCTCATGGACATTCTAGACCCCAGGTTAATTCTCATCTCTCACTCTTGACTATGTAGTTGACCCTTGAAGAACTTGGGTGTTTGGGGCAAAGAAAGCCTCCAAGTGGAAAATCCAAGTGTGTCTTATAGTTGGCCCTCTGCAAAAGTGGGTTTTGCATGAGGGAATTCAAGCACAGGCATCAGTGGTTGGTTGAATCCATGAATGGAGAAGCATCAACAGAAAGTACCCTCATGTAAGTGATGCTCCTAGTTCAAGCCCATGTTGCTCAAGGGCCAACTGTACTTCCCCTGCAAATAGATCACCAAGTTTCAGAATTCCTCTTTAAATGGATCTATTATCATGTCCCTCTATGGGGAAACATCTGAATTGTTAAATTATCTGCTGTATTTTGATAACTTCCAGTTTGTTTGAAGGGAAGGAAAGTGATTTGTAATCCTTAAATATACAATCAGTCAAATGATCCAAGAAGAATGCTAGAAACTCTCAGGCTGGCAGAAGCAGTATCTATTTGATGGCAAGTAATGATGTTCTGGGTGATTCTCAACCTTCAGTGCACATTGGCATCACCCAGAGAGCTCTCAAAAATGCTGCTACCTGGGCCCCATCAAATAATCTCACTTAATTTGTCTGGGGTAAATTCCAGGCAAAGATACTTATTGAAAAGCTTCCCAGGCAATTCTACTGGGGAGCTAGGGTTGAGATCCACTCTTTGAAACAGCAAGGGCAAAGCGAGGAGGCAGCTATTCTGTGGTGAGGCAGAGGCTCCACGGCCCAGGAGTGGGTCACTGAGTCAGTGGAAACCGACAGCCTGCATGTGAATTCTGGGTCTCCCTATCACTAGATTGGTGACCTTGGCCAAGTCAATCAAACACGTGACATAACAGTTTCTTAATTTGAAAATGAAGGTGATAATACCTACCTCCCAGGATAGTGGTGAAGTTAAAGGAGAAAAGGTATGTGAAGCAGTTAGCCTGGGATCCATCTCATGATTAGCACTTCCATAAATGTTAGTTGCCTCGTTCACAGCTGAATATCCCCAGCACCTAGCACAGATGCCTGGCACATAGCATGCACTCAAATCATTGTTGAAATAATGAGTCAGTATTATAATTCACAACACTTAGTGAGTCCTGATTTTTTGAAAATCAGGGCATTAGTGAAGCTCATTTTTTGGTTGTTTTGGTTCATTTGATGCCAAGAGCAACACTGGACGCCAAGTGGCCAAGTGCTTATGGGAACACACTAATGAGTTCTTGGTTCTTGAAAGGGATCAACAATTACGCTTCAAGAGATAGGTCTAGTGGATCAGGCTAAGACTGTTTCCTCAAGTAGTGTCATTAGAGAAACTATAGTTCTTTGGGTGATTCTTATAAGCAAGCATACTTGGGAAACAAAATTAGAAAAACACATCAAAATAAGGTTTGATGTCCGAAAACAGAGCAGGCAAGGAATTCCAGTCTAATAGGGAACAGACACACACAACAGCCTTTTTAAACACAGATGTAGCAAATACAAGGGCTTCTGAGCCTCACCGAGCCAAATGCATCTGAGGCCTTCTTCATCTCACAGAACAAGAAGGGGGCAAAGATCAAGCACAGAGGTTGACTTACAGTACCTGGAAGCTTCTATGTGAGTTCTGAGTAAGCTTACAGCCCTACGGATAGTCAAATGGCAAGAGATAAGTAGTATGGAATTTCACAGCATACCTCACAATTCTGGAGACTTCTTTCTCTTTACATGTAAATATGTATCTCTAACCAATAAACGCTTCTTCCAGAAGGCAGTACAATTTGTTGTGGAACAGACGGGTGTGAGAATAGATCTGTGTTGTGTTTCACTGTATCAAGAACGTCACCTAACCTTGCTAAGCTACAGTACCACTCGCCTGCCTGAGTCAGTATTTCTGGGAGGGTTAAACAAAATAGCATCATTTCCCAGATTGATGTAAAAACTATATCAAGAAGGAATTGCGTGGACTTATTGGTGATATAGTCAAGAAACTCTTAATACTATGCCTGTGTTTCTAAAACAAAGCATGCCTGTATCAAGGGCAGTTAATTCAGTGAAACAAAGGGGTCACATTGCAAGTCCCACCCCCATTAAGACAGTGAAACGTTGTACTCTCCTCTGGGTTTCTGCGTTCTTCTGATTCCAACAGCATTCGCCCCTATACACTCTGTGCCCATTCTTTTATGAAAATCCAAAGGAAAAAATAAAAGCTTTTTGATTTCTGGTACCAGTATCAGGACAGCATTACCTTGCCACAATAAATTATCCAATCAACCAAATGTTTATCATAATTGTTACTCCTTCCGGGGCTGTTAAGAAATGTTTATGGGTGAGTCACTCAACTGGAAAAGAGACTTAACTATCTCTCATTGCTCTTCAGCGATTTTTTCCCAAGTTATGGGATCACAAAGGATGAGTTATAACAGCAGACCTAAAAGAAAATAACTTCATTAACCTGAAGTCTTCCCCTACTGTATACTGGACAAAACTCTTATGGATAATAAGAGGGATTATCTTGGCCTCTGTCTTTTAAGAGGGTTCTCCCTCTGCCCTACTCAGGTTGCACTGCCCAGATAAGGGCTGTCCTGAGAATAGACAAGTAGAATAAAAAAAAAAAACCTCATTCCCAAAAGTTCTCAGCATCTCCAACTAGCAAGTGTTAATTAAGCTTTAGCGTTAATCAAAGGAGATGGCTTAGGCAATTTTGAGGGCTATCTCTGGCCACTGACATGGGTTTCTAGCATTTTAAGATTATCCATAAAGAATAATAAGAAAGACAAAGCACAAAGAATGTCTTTATCAGGCTTGAAGGAAGTTGGTGGCAGCAATATTTGTAGGTAGAATATTAAAAACAATGGCTAAATAAACTATACTACATCCATAGTGTGGAATATGTACAGTAGTTTTTAAATGAGTTCAATCTATATGTACTAATACAGATATTTCTCCAAAACTTAATTTTTCTGTTTAGGAAAGATAAATGTTAACGCCTTGTATGTAGAATGATGTCACTTATTAAGCACACCTCTGTTTTCCTATAATTTGATACCACAAAGAAATTCATGTACCACGGGCCTTGTTCCATCAGCTCCAAGTGCTTGCACTAGCATTTGAACATCGTTAACTTGTTTATCCAGCAAAACTATTACTCGAACATCTCAGTCCTAAGGAGAAACGCTGACATGCATCATTTCAGGTACAGTTTTATATGTACAAATTCAGAATCGAGTCTTAAAATTTGGTTTTCATTTTAGTGTCTTAAAGCCATCTGCTTTCCATCTTCTTTTACTTTCTAGGTCTCTCCATAGAGTTTGGTGATGAAAAATCCAGCAAACCACGCAGGCAGCCTCTTGCCCCCTTACCATCAAGTTCACACCACTCCCAGCTCCACAGCTGGTCACGTTATCCACCCAGAGCCAGCCATCTTTTAACAGAGAAGGAAAATATGTGCTTTAATTCACCTCTTTTCGGTCCACTCTTTTGACCCTTTTCTACACAACGATTTCTTTTACTCCTCCTCCCTACAGACATTTGTCTAGATACAAACACCACAAATAAAGCTGACTTATTGGGTGACCCTGAATTTGTTCTCAATATGCTCAGTTGACCTTCCTTATCTGTCTTCCTACCCCCGCCCTCCCCAGCATCCTTCTGGGGCAAGCATTT